GGGGGGGGGGGGGGTTGTTAAGGGGAGAGTTCTGGAGTTTCAAGTCTAGAAAGTTCTAAAGTAGTAAGGTAGTTTATGTATTAATTCCTCACAAGAATGAAATTTATAGGGTTTCTCCTTTGGAGAGTATTTAATTAATCCAATTGAGAATCAGGTAGCATGATTACCAAAAAACAAAGAATGAAAAGTATATATAGATTTATTTGGATCACAATATAACTTTTTCTGACTGACGTCTAAATAGAAGTTTTACCTATAAAAATAAAATAAAAAACCAGACCATGTGCATTGTGGATATGTATTTCAAGAATAAATAGACCAATTTTAGGAAAATTCTCGACAGATAAGACAAGAAAATTAAAGGTGGCAGTGGCATTGGTTAGTAAACAAGAGATGAAAAGTGAAAGACAAATTTTTGTGCTCGGATACGGCTACCTAGAGAAGTAGTTGAGAAATCATCAAGGGGAATGGGGCTATGGCCGAGAATAAGTCATTATGANTAAGGAAATACTGTGAATTCAGTGGGCTCGAATTTATTATTGTTTCATTACGTTAACTTATATTTTGCAGAATTATTATTTACAAATACAGCAATATTGGCGGGAATAACAAAACTTGAACCTCCATTTGTTATACTTAGATGTCAATTTAATTAGTGGAATGCAGCTTTTGGGCATTTAAGACAAGAATATATGAGGCTGATCTGAGTAGGCAAATTTATTTCTTCCCATTATTCTAATATGGATGTGGCATTCATGTGCTTCCAGCATGGAGTTTTTCTTTTCTTTTCTTTCCTTCACTTTTGGGGTACTTTGAATGCTGCTAAATTGACTGATATAAGTTCAGATGATTAATTTATTGGACTTTTTTTTTGTTTTGTATATATACAAGATTCTAAACTTATTTATTCGGTTTTACCTAAGTTTTCATATTTACAGGAAGTAACAAAAGTTTTTATAAAATATATACAAATCCGATCAAAATCTACAATTTATCTACAACATAAGTACACATTTTTTGTACAGAATCCGGTCAAAAACTATAATTTACATACAATTTATATACAACTTATATACAATTATGTAAGTTGTAGATATTTTGTATACCATTTCTACATTCGACATACAAAATATATACAATTTGTTCATGTCTTCTTTTTCGAGTTTCAACCTGAAATTTCAACCAAATCACATCGAATCTTTACCAAATTGTCTCAAATTTGAGATATAAACTCCAACGGATATTTTCAATCATCTGCAACGACACCCAATGCAAACAAAAAATAATTTCATAAAATTTTATTTTTGAATTCAAAGCTTTGAAGCTTTTTAATGGCTGCCAATAGAGTTTTTAATGTATTAACATAGTTTCCAATTCAATCTACTCGCTTTTAATTAATACTATTTTGTTTATTGATTCCAAAAAACTAAAAGAATGATAACTAAAATGATTCTTTTCATTAGAGCTAATTTTTTTCTTATTTACTTCCTCGTTTTTATAGGATCTGAAGCAAGAACTTTGCTAGGTACTAATCTTCTCTCTTTTTTTCACTTAACATTAGTATTATTTCTTCAATTAATCCACATGAAGATATTAATATAAGAATACTGATAGAGAATGAGAGAGAGAGAGAGAGCGAAGAGGGAATTCTCTATTCAATTCATAATATAATGAAATACTCATTAATACTAATTTGTATATAAATAGTAAATTGTATATCAACTTGTAATTAAGTTAAAACCTAAACAGTGAGGATAAATAAATTTCTAATATAGTACATATATGTAAAAATCCCCTAATTTATCGAAAGCACAGGCGGGTGAGTGATCCATCATGGAAAGATGACTATGTATTTTTTTGGGGGGTGGGGGGTCAACAGATTTGGGGGTCCAAAGCTAAAATATATTAAAGGACTTTTAAACCTTCTTAATCCATACAATAATGAGACATAAAAGAAGAGCGCATGACTTTGATCTAGTAACGAGAGCGCATCGTACAATAGGTGGGTTAGGCATATATCATTGTTTCAAATTCTTGAGTGTACAAAAGCATGACATTTGAATGAAAAAGGGTAGAGGAATTTGCCTCAAAGATTTCTCTAAAAAAGACGAGACTGAAAAAATTTAATTTCCATTATATAGATTAATCAAATATGTCAAAGAAATAGCTAATTCAGAAAAAAGAGTTGAAATCAGAAAGTGAGATAGTCTAAAATATTTTAAAAAAAATTATACATAGAGGAAGAAAAATTGAATTGACGAGAATGTAAATATACAATTTAACTTATACTCACTAAACCTTACGACAATAAATAAATTTAAGAATATTAAATTTTAAACTTTTTATTAATAATTACATAAATTATATATGTATTATATATGATAATAATATAGTACATCCTATTATTAGGGATTTTAAATTTTGAGGGCGTAAGATAAAGGACTTCACTTGTCTTACCCTATAACTGTCCCTGTATATTTTGATTATTCTAGTGTTTCAAAATCTATCTCATCACCTTCTTCCATTTCATTTTGGCTAAGTTAGACATTCAAATGTTTATATATATATATATATATATATATATGGTGGTGTGAATTTGAAGGTGTGGTTGGAAAAAGCTAATATTTGAATGGACATAAAATTTAAAAAAATAAAAGAAGACTTTTTACGATAAGTCAAATATATACAAAATATTAAAATTATCTTTTTAAATGAGTGGCTATTAATGATAATTTCGCATGTCTTTTTTCTCTCCTAATAAAAGAATAAACTTTTATACTTTATCAAGCATGTGTACAACAGAAATGCTAAGACTAATAGTTTCCCCTAAAAAAAGAAGAGAGATATGTAGTATTCTTTTTCAAATAGACTAAAACGGAAAAAGTATATAATATAAATTGAAAAAGAAGAAGTATAGTTATTGTTGAATGGAAAAAATTGAAAAATTGCATTATCCGCGATTAACTAGTGTACATTCTTGTAAACTTCTAATGATCATTTAAAAAAAGAAGAGACGTCCGTATGAAATACCAGTCATTGATAGAAGAAGTGAGAAAAGTTCTAATTAGACGTAGTACCATCTTTTGATGGCAATTAGAAGAAAGGGAAATTAAAGTAGTAGGTGTAAAGTAAAGAGTGGAGGACCATTCGAACATGTACAAGTTCCTCCTCTAATTTGTCTATATCCAATAAAAGTTTCACGTTTTGAACAAGTCTCATATTGAGACTAGCAATAATTGTTACTTGGAAAATGCTACTGAAAATAAATCTATACCTTGTTAAAGCTTCCTTTGGAACTTTGTGGTTTTCCTCTAGAATAACTTTTTCTTG